GTAAGGCAACTCCCATCTTTTCATGTACTGTGTATATACACCTGTCTACTGTATTTTCCACTCCCTGCATCTGATGAAGTGGATTTTAGCACATGAAAGCTTATGCCCAAATAAATTTTAGTTTGCCCACCTCTGCCTTAGAGACTATGGCCTGCAGGCTACATCTCGCCCGTGGGACTCCTCCCCAGCCTCTGAGCTCCTGGCCTGGGAGGCTAGCCCCTAGCCCCTCCCCTGCTGTCCCTCCCCCCCCCCCGCAGCCTTAGCTAGCTGGCTCGTTCTGCCGCTGGCACAGTGCTCTGCGTGGCTGGGCTGTGAGCTCCTGGGGCAGTGCAGCTACAGAGCCCGGCCTCACCCGGTGCTCTGAGCTGCATGGTGGCAGTGGCATGGCCTGGCTCCAGCGCCGCCAGTTTAGGGTGACCAGATACCCCAAAATTGGGACATTTTTCTTATATAGGCTCCTATTACCCCCCCACCCCCATCCCAATTTTTCACATTTGCTGTCTGGTCACTCTACACCAGCCACCGGTGTTCCAGGCAGCGCGGTGGGGGGGGGGGGGGAGGGGAGTTGGATAGAAGGCAGGGGAGTTTGGGGTGGTGGTCATGGGGCGGGGTGTGGATAGAGGTCGGGGCGGGCAGGGGGTTGAATGGGGGCAGGGGTCCTGGGGATGCAGTTTAGGAAGGAGGGGGGTTGGATTGGGTGGCAGGGGGCAGTCGGGCAGGGATTCCAGGAGACAGGGAGAAGGGGTGGTTGGATGGGGCAGGAGGGCCATCAGGGAACGGGGGGTTGGATGGGGCAGGAGTCCTGGGGGGGCCTGACCCCCTCCTCTAACCGGCCCTCCGTACAATTTACAAAACCTGATGCAGCCCTCCGGCCAAAAAGTTTGCCCGCCCCTGTTCTAAGGTACCACAAATACTCCTCGTTTTATCCTGAATATTCACTAGCCATTAAGTTCCATTGTTTTTTACCAAACAGTGACTACAAATACTTTCCCCTCAACTTTCACTCTTGACTTGTTACCATTAGTCTTTGAATTCTAATAGTAGAGGCATTTTAGAGGCTTGTTTTTTTAGGCAGAAAAAAATCTTTTGAAAACTGCATGTGTCTCATTTATCATAGAGATGAAAAACTTACAAGCCCACTGTCTTTTCCTTTTGAAAGTAGAGATAGGCCTGAACCAAAATCTTCAGATCAGTGTTTGCTGTTTGAACTCTAGCCCTGGTTTGCTACTAAAACTGAGAAAGTTATGGCCTTATTAACAGGTTCAGCTACTTGTAGGGAAGTGTTTTCTGATGTGTGGGGAGAGACTGGAATTAAGTGATATATTTTAATGTTTAAATGAGGTAATAGGAACTCTAGTACCCACAACTTCCTTGTTTCCACAAGGAATGTTACTTGCTTTTTTATGAATTTGCTCTTTAATTGAAAAATCAAGTGAAAGCTCATACTGGAAGGGTTTACATACTTCAAAACATTAACACTATCTGAAAAAGTTGTTACTCCTAAGATTACAGATTCTCAGTTCACATGCTGTGGACACAAGCCAGTCAGATGTTACATAGGCCCAGCTTTTCTTAGCAAAAGTATTGTGAGTGAGGAAAAGAGAGAGTGGGGTTGGAGAGAGCTGAAGGCTGGGATGGGGGTTGGATGAGACTGAGACTTGAAGGCTTGAGTAATGGAGCATCTACTGCATGTAACTTATGTAAACATCACATATACTCAATGGTTTTGCTCTAAGTACCATCATTCTGGTGTCAAGTGGTTGGAACTGAGTGTCCCTGCTTTCCAACTTGCCACCTGTTGTAGAGTTCATTTGACGTAGTTATTGAAGCTATGCCATTGGCGGGACAACAGGTGAGTCAGCACTCGTAGCCCCATGTAAAAGGGACAACTGTTTCAAACCCAGGTTTAAACTCTAGTCCAGTGTTTCTCAACCAGTGATATGTGCAGAGGTCTTCCAAGGGGTACAACTCATTAAATATTTGCTTAGTTTTACAACAAGCTACATAAGAAGCACTAGTGAAGTCAGTACAAACTAAAATTTCATACAGACAATGACTTGTTCAAACTGCTCTATATACTACACACTGAAATGTAAGTACAATATTTGTGTTCCAATTGATTTATTTTATAATATGGTAAAAATGAGAAAGTAAGCAATTTTTTTGGTCATAGTGTGCTGTGACACTTGTGTTTTTATGTCTGATTTTGAAACCAAATAGTTCTTAAATGAGGTGAAACTTGGGGGTACGCAAGACAAATCAGACTCCTGAAGGGGGTACAGTCATCTGGAAAGGTTGAGAACCACTGCTCTAGTCTCTTTGAATTTTACAGGATATGCTATCAGCATTGCACAACAGCCAGAATGCAACATCTTCTTTTTGAGAGTCACAAGAATTTTGGAGGGATGATATAGCCATTAATTATTAGCATTGTAGAGCTTAAATGTTCAGGATATGGATCTCTGTGAGGCTATACTGGGAAAAGATAGGGAGTGGGACCCCCAGGGCTGTTGCTGGGGTGCAAACTGGGGTGTTCAAAAGATTTCAGAAATAAATGGGAGAAGTATTAAGAGCTTTGGGTTTTTTTAACCCTAGGGTAGACTTTTTTGGCTGAAAGCCTTTAATACTCATAATTAAAATCTGTCTGATTACTGATATAATTATGAGATTGTAATAAAATAGAGGCACCTTTTTGAGCAAATGCTATTATAAAAAGTACAATACCTCCATGAATTTACACCCTGGCTTTTTTTTATATCAGTCTTTAGCAGGTAACGTTTTTTTTTAAGTCATTATATTTTTCTGTAACTAACAATGCAACCATACATACATTATTTTAGGATACCGTGTTTTGCTCCTCAAAGGGAATGGAGGGGATATCCAAACCCTAATCAGGTCTAATGTAACATCTCCATTTGCCCTCTCCTCATGACACTTTTATAAGTACCTCTCAGTATGACACCCCTTTGCTTCCTAGAATGCAGAGTAGTACCAGCTGGATTCTGAAAGATACAACATATCTATTTTTAAAAAATTAATTGTAGGCCCTGTCACCTGGACTAATCAAACTGATGTGTGCTGATTTTAATATTAATATATTGCATTTCTGTGATGCCTTTATTTCGAAAGTACATCTTACATTTTGTCTAGGGATCTCTCTCCACTTACTGTCCGCATTCTAAAACCAGGGTAGTATTTAAAATGATTAGTCCACATTTTGAATTAAGTAATTGGCACTCTTTCACTGTTCAGGTCAGTCTCCCAAACTGGGAGATTGCTATTTGTCTTTTACAGTGGCTTTTAAATTTTGTATCTGACTAATCTCGTATGGAAGGAAGAGATACTTACCTATTTTTTAAAAATTGCTTTCTGCCTCTTAGCAGTCTAAGGCCTCAAGCCTGCATGTGTATGTGCTAAAAGTCAGTAGAACTAATGCAGTTAGTTATGGATATACTTTCAGTTTCTGCAGGATTGAGGCCCATTTTTGGTAATTTGAGTTTGTATAGGCAGGTTTTAGAGGGGAAAAAACAAAACATTAATTACAGCATCACTAGGTGCTTGATTCATTCTGAAATGAACAATAAGTGAGGCAGAAGTGTGCAGGAAAAACTAGAGTTCTGTTTGGGGGGAGAGATTTTCTCAGATAGGGGCTGTCCATACATTACTTAAAACATTTTTGGTAGCTTTAGGACTCCTCTCATCCTTTTATAACACTGAAACAAAACTTAAGGACCTATCCACCACTGGTTTAATGGACAGTCCTATAACACTGTAAACTTACTGAAATTATGTAAGTACCCAATTCTGCTAGGGGTGAGGGGCTGCAGACTTAAGATTTCCAAAGGGATCTGCACCTCTATTTGGTTTTTTTTTAGGGTGTCCACAAATGAAAAAAGGCTGAAAACCCCTGGTATACGCAAATAGATAGAACAGTGATTCGGATCTCTGCCTTAGCTCAAATAGACCAAGTAGCCAAAGACGGCGTTCAAAGCGGTCCAGCTAGCCCCTGTGTCCCTGCAGCCGACTTTGTCATGTGGCGGCCAGATCGAGCAGGGGAGGGGAAAGAGTTCAGCAAATACCTTGCAGTCCTGTCCGCCCCCTCACTCCCTTCCGTGCATGCTGTGTGCAGCTGAGCTGCTGCCGCTCGCTTTCCCGGCAGGCCCTGCTGGTGCCCTGCCATCCACCAACACTCGCCGCGATGGCAGGAGGACGGGAGAGAGTCGCTCACTTGCTGAGGCAGCTGCAGCGCGCAGCGTGAGTGTTTGTCTCTGGGCACCAGCTCCTAGGGTGCCGTGCCACCGTCCCCCTCCCTGATCCCCTGGGCCTGCCGGGCTTGGGGGGAGGGAGGGAAGGGTACGTGACATGAGATATGGCTGATAGATCAACTTTGGAGGCCTCTTTAGTAAGAGCCAGAGAACGTTGTTGCAAGCAACAGATTTCATAGATCTGCAAGCTCCACAGAGGCAGGACTATGTGTGCAGCTTAGAAACTTATTCCTTTTGTAGTGTATTTTCTGGGAGTAGCGTGAATGCAGAGGAGAAGATTCCTACCCCCACGTCCAGCAAATCGTGTCTGCCTCCTCTGTCCTGCATTGGGAAATGACTAACCCCGTGGCTGCCTTTTCTCTTTATGGGTATTGCTGTGAAGGGGCAGGAGCAGGTACACCTGCTGCAATGAAAGGAAGAAAGTCTCTTTCACTATGTGTCATGGTGCTCTCAATGGACGGAACTAGTCTTGCTGTTTAATCCAAATCTGCGTCATATCTCTCATCCACCTCAAAACCTTGTGCTCAGGCCCTGCTGCTGACATTAGCCTGTGCACTGCATGTGTCAAAGTAGCAAAATGTAGGGGTGTCATATGAAAGCTTTCAAACATACTGTTACAAACTACTAATACAAAATCACCTGAAGAAATACCCTCTCAAAAAAGCCAGGGCGACCGAATCTAATCATACTTCTGTCCACTTTGACCGCCTCTCAGTAGTCTAAACATAAGTGTGGATTTGGGCCAAAGCACATAAGAATGGCCATACTAGGTCCATCCAGCCCAGTATCCTGTCTTCTGACAGTGGCCAGTGCAGCTGCTTCAGAGGGAATGAACAGAACAGGTAATCATCAAGTGATCCATCCCTTGTCGCCCGTTCCCAACTTCTGGCAAGCATAGGATAGGGACACACCATCCCTGCCCATTCTGGCTAATAGCCAGCCTCCTCAGTGCAGATTATCCAACCTCTATGTACCACTGGCTGCATTTTTCTTAAGACCATGTATTTGATCTGGAGAAGGGAAAGCAACCCAATATTGGACATATTTTAAATGCAGTAGCAGTGAAATGGTAAGTGATAGCTGAAACCATATATTTCCCAGTTTTGTGCATCACAAAAACAATAATCTCTAATTGACACGGGCATTGGTGGTCTCCGTATAGTTGGCCACTCTTAAAACTGAGGGGACATCAGTGTATTGTCTAATTAATCGTTAGAGCACCTAGAGCTTTGGAAAGGTATCTTTTTATCATTTTAAATCTTCAGATGGGGGATACTCTACTTGTCCCCAGAGCTAACAGCAGTAACTTCCTCATCTTCTTTCACAGTACTCGGACCTAACTATGCCTTGTGGCTGCTGCACAGCTGCCCAACAGAAGTGCTGGGCTTGTTCCACACCCATCTCCTTAGGGCTTCATCAGCACAACACAAGAAGCTTTTGCTTAATGCAACTTTCATGCTACTACCATCACATCTTCCTCATCCTCCAGTGAAGTGATTCTTCTTCCCTGGGATCCTCGCCCCTCTAGTAATCTGCCTATTTAGCCTCTTCTGTGGCCTCCATCACTATGTACTCTGAACACCTTGACTATATTAATTCATCTTCACAACACCCCTGTGAGGTAGGGAAGTGTTATCTCCACTTTAGGGATGTTCTCTGGTGTTTCCATAGGCACCTATTCTCTTAGTGCAATTTAAGCAACAGATGCTTTGAGGAACTAATTTAAACTGCACCAAAATCAGACCTAAGCTGCACTCAGACACATTTAAATTAGGGTCTAACAATTCAGCATTTGAGTAATAAAGAAACATCGTTACCTATGTGGAACACTAGATGGCAGTCCCTGTTTGTGACAAATCTTGTGAGATATGGTGGCAAGAAAAATTACTTACAAGACACGACAATTGCTGTTAGTTGTAGACTTGTTTAAAGTCTTTGCTTTCCTATTTCTTTTTTAAACAGACATTTATTTTTCGTTTAATTAGATGCCAGTGTCCCGCTCATTCCCACACTTACTCTCAAGGTAAGATTATCCTTAATGTGTCCCAAATGATTCTGCATTTTCACTTTTTCAAATTCAGGCTTGCATTCAATAAAAGTTACAACAAAGATAGGGCAAAGTGATAATAAATATAGCATACTTAGAAAGAGTATGTAATTGATACCAAAGAGAAGTAAAAACCATTTTAATTAGGGCTGTCAAACAATTCTTTTAAAATCGCAATTAATCATGAGATTAAAAATAGTTGCAATTAATCTCACTGTTAATAATGAATGCCAATTTAAATTTATTATAAATATTTTGGATGTTTTTCTACATTTTCAAATATATTGATTTCAGTTACAACACAATACAAAGTGTACAGTGCTCACTTTATTTTTTATTACAAATATTTGCACTGTAAAAAGGTAAACAAAAGAAATAGTATTTTTCAATTCACCTCATACAAGTACGGTAGTGCAATCTCTTCATTGTGAAAGTGCAATTTACAAACGTAGAAATTTTTTTTTTTACACAACTCCACTCAAAAACAAAACAATATAAAACTTTAGAGCCTACAAGTCAAAGCATGAAGGGGCATATGAATACTTAGCGTAACTGGCATTTAAATACCTTGCAAAGTTGGCTACAACCTAAGGTCCCTCTAAGCTGCACGGCCACGCAGCAGGCTATCAAGGCCACGCAAGCAGGATGACGAGCCCCTTCCCCGGCCTGGCACGGCTCGGCCCCACCGGAGCTGCCATGATCGGGGAGAGGCACCCCAGCCCCGAGCTGCTGCAGCGAGAGAAAGCTGGGGGGAGTCCTCTTTTCTTGCCACAGCCCCAGGGCAGCCTGCACCCCCAGCTAGAGCCATCACCCCCAACACTCTAACCCTGAGCCCCCTCCTGTACCCCAGAGCCCGCACTCCCAGCCAGAGCCCTCACCACCCCCCCTGCATCTCAACCATCTGCCCCAGCCCTGAGCCCCCTCCCACACACTGAACCCCTCGGCCCCACCCTCGCCATACATCACCTCCATATTGGTGCACATAACAAAACTCATTCCGCATGTGGACGTAAAAAATTAGAGGGAACACTGGCTACAACAATACCTGTTCTCACTTTCAGGTGATATTGTAAATAAGAAGAGGGCAGCATTATCTCCTGTAAATGTAAACAAACTTGTTTGACCGATTGGCTAAACAAGAAGTAGGATTGAGTGGACTTGTATGAGGTGAATTGAAAAATATTTGTATTCTGTGTTGTAATTGAAATCAATATATTTTGAAAATGTAGAAAAACATCCAGAAATATTTATAATTAATAGAATGCCAATTTAAAATTTTGTCTAACAGTGCGATTAAAAACTGCAATTAATTGTGACCTTTTTAATCTAGCTATTTTGTTTTGTGTTAATCGCATGTATTAACTGCGATTAATTTACAGCCCTAATTTTAATATGAAATTGGATATTTTCCCCCAATCATGTATAAAGGAACATTATAAACATTATTACAGATAAAATATATTTCACTTTTAATTCTATAAGTATTAAATCTGCTTTCATCATTTTTATATATGAAGTGTCCTTTCATAATCATTGAATACATCCTGTAAGTTTGTTTTTAAAATGCTGGAAATATGCCAAGAGACTGGAATAGACTTGTCTTATAAATAGAAATTAAAACTATAACCTAAATTTTCATAAGTGATTAGTGATTTTGAATGGGTCAGTTTAGGGCTAGGGTCAAGGGTTAGGTAACTCAAGCTGGGTTCTCAAAAATCGAGCCATTCAAAGTCATTAGTCACTTATGAAAATTTGAACCTGCAAGTCTTTAACTCTTCATCTCCAGTGTTAGGCCTTGTTGATTTTGCAATCAGATTCAATAGAGCAGACCCTCGTGCCATGGAGTTGTACATGGAAAGTGATTTCTCAGGTACACCTAGTTGCAGGATTGGGGCTCTGGAAACTAAACAAATTTATGGGTCATACACTAACTGAAAATGGTGGAATCTGATTATATTTAACACTTATACAATTCACTTCAGTCAGAGATCTCATATTGCTTTACAAAGATGCATAGGCATTACCATCACCATTTTGCAGATGGGGAAACTGAAGCACCAAGAGGGTAAATTTATTTGCCCAACATCACACAGCAAGAAAATGGGAGAGCTGGAAGTAGATCTGAGGTCTCCTGACTAACTGTTTGGTGCCCTATTGAGTTAATTCAAGACAGGTCTTAGTGAGGGTGAAGTTTACATGATGTAGGAATCCCACCTACAGTCTACAGCAAAAATTGATGATACAGAGTAGCAAGGCTATTATCAGTTCTATAGACCTCTAAAAAGTGAGGAATGACTTAATAGCAACTTCTGTCTGAAAAATGTCTGTTTCATGCCAGTGTTCTGCAGAAGCAATACAGTTTTTATGGCATGATAAAGTCCTTAACAAAAGTTAAGCTGTACCAAAGAATACAAGAGCAGAACTTCTATTTTACCATCAGAAGGAAATGGATGTAAGGGGCTTGGACTTGTCCTCAGACTGACAAATTAATTACTGAAACAGCAACAAACTCCAACACTAGTAAAGGTCAAACGTGTACAGCCTGACGAGGGGCAGTAATGGATGAACTGATTGTAGCAGGCCTGAGCTTGAATAGAGCGCACATAAAGGGATCTTAATGTTTGTGTTATTCTTGTGGATCAGCACTCTAATGCAACACAAAGCACTTGTTAGGTTCATTATCATTCATTGGATCTAAATCCAAATAGTAAGTTTCCACTTCATATACCATACATATGGAGTGAGTTGATCTTTTGCTGGGAGGGCAGAATATTTTATCTTGTTTTGTTTTTTGTCTCTCTGATACTCTATTCAATTTTGTGGCAAACTTGTGAGTATGCAGAGCTTTCCATAGCTTGTACGCGAGAGATTTGGCAATGGGGAGATGAGATGACTGAAAGTGTAGGATTTCCATACTAGTTCAGAGCAAGAGGCCATTGTAAATCCTGACACCAATCTTTCTTCCGGTTCTTGTGTACAAATAGTGCCTTTTACCCAAATATGTGTTGTGTTATATGTAATGAATATTGCCCTGGAGGCCAATGTATACCTATCTCCTAGATCTGGATAGAACACATGTCATGGAATCTGAGTCTGTATTATCATTTGAAATGAATCTTTCATCTTTTTCGATTCTTAGCAAATATTTTAGCTATAAATACATGCAAAATTGCTGATAACTTATTCAGAGCATGTAAGAACAAAGAACTAACTCTTTTTAAAAAAAAAAAAATCCGCTCTTATTTAATTATGTCAACATATAGCAAACTAGCCCATCAATGGGACTAGGTTTGGGGAGGTAGGTTTGCAGGATCAGTAGTGGTCCGAGCCAGTGTTCAGCATGAGTAAGGGTTGGAAAATCAGACTCAAAACAAGCAAATCCCAACAAAAATGGAGATATAAAAATCAAACAAGGAGCAATATGTAAACACATTTTTTAAAAATCACATTTTAAAGCCAGGGAGTTCCTTAGCTGAAATGTTGAAAATTGTAATGAAGATTTGTTTTACATATCAAATTTTCTGCTAATTCTATTATTTAATTTCCATTCCAGCTCCTGAACATGCTGCTTTGAGAAGAACAGACTATGCTTTTGAGGTAGATTTAATAAATAAGTATATTTCCATTTAGAGCGAAGATTTAGTATGTTATATAACTTTAAGTGTGGCGTTTTCAAAAAGATATTTCAATTATTAAAATGGTATATTCACAATTGAGGCATTTGGATTGAGTTCCGTGTAGTTATATTTCTAAAACAACTGTTCTTTAATTATTTTTGTAGATGGCTGTGTCAAATATCAGATATGGAGAAGGTGTTACTAAAGAAGTAGGCATGGTAAGCTCTTATCTGGTACATCTTTCACCTATGAAATGTTACTTTCCAATGAAATAATGATACTTGCCAGCAACTGACATTAATTTTAGCTGATTACAGAAATGTTTGTATTATATATCAAGTTGGAAAGACTTAAGGCTAAATATCCTGTATATGGAACTGAAAATATACTTTTTTGTAACAAATATAGTTATAATGTGAGTTACACATATGCAAATATATAGTAGTAAATAGAAGTGTGGCGGTATCATTAATTATTATTTGTCTTGCCATCGCGCCTAGATAATAGTATTGAAACTTTCATTCTTAATCCATATGCTCTGTTGTTCTTAATGATTAAAAAGAGAAAAAACTTTTTTGGGCTGAAAATTCCCAGTCTTCAGCCTATAAGTGAAATTTTGGAAACCTTTTAAAAACTATAAATAGGAGATTTTAAAATATTTCTCAGCTTTCCAGACCAAGAGAAAAATACATTTTTAATATAAAAAATGTAGCACATGCATTTCTCCGATTAGGTGTTTATGAAGCTATTTGACTATACAATGCGCATGTGAAAAAGGAACCTAAAAGGAAAGACCGTGAGATCATACTAAACATTGCATACTAAGTGTGTATACCCTCTAGTGTGTGGAGTTCCTGCTCAGGGTAAGCCTGCTGAATACACTTTCCCTACAACAACAATTCTCTTGAATTTTTCAGTGTGTCACCTGCAGAAGATTTTACATAATCTTAAAGTTAATGGTGCGTCAGACTCAAATAATAAGAGATGTATGAACACATTCTGGATGCGACCAATTACGGGAATTGGTATCAGTTGCACTTGCAGGGGTAGGGGATAGATGTTGGAAACAGGACAACAAAAGTACTGCCAGTGACAGAAAAAGCCAGATTCACCTGATAGCCCTGCCTTTCCTTTTAGATTCAGAGCAAAATTTCCATTTGCCCCTAGATTAGATTCCTTAACATTAAGAATTATTTAATAAAGATTAGGGCTCTGTTGTGCTAGATGAAGTATATACTTGTAGTGAGAGACGTTCCCTGCTCCAAAAAGTTTACAGTCTAATAGAGAAGACAGACATAGTGGAGGAAAAAGGAAGTGTTATCAAGCTGTTTTATAGATGAAAAACCGAGGCTTAGATATAATGGGCCTGATTCTTTGTTGCCCTGCACCACATAGTCATTTGCACTATTGTAAAATGGTTGTAAAATATCATCAAATCAGAATAGTACATCAACTTCGCACTGGTTGTCAGGCAATTGAATTGACTTGCCCAGTGTCACACAGGAAGTCTCTGTGAGAGATGGAGAATTAACTCAGATCTCCTGAATCCCAGCTCAGCCTTAGCATCAAGACCTCAGTCACTTAAGACCTAAGCCACTGCTCATGGAAGTGATGGGAGAGTTTCCATTAACTTTATTGGGCATTGATTGAGGCCCTTAATTTTTGTTCACCTTGAGCTCTGATCCTGTGTCACTGAAGTCAGGGCTTTCCCCCCATCTTGCTATCAATGGTGTAGGATGACTCAAGTGTCATGATTACCTTCTTGTGTTTTGCACCATCTTTGTTATCAGGTTCTGAACTTATTACCCCTTCTTGGCACTTATGCATTGCCAGTTTTAATTTCAATGTAAACACTGTAAATGAAATTGTTTTGTACGTAGCAAGAATAACAGTTAAATATCGCTGCTGTCATTGGACAATAGTATTGAGGACTGAATACTGTACCATGATCTGTAAAAACTTCAGAATTTATGTAGACGATAGAATTCTATAGCAGTAATTATTGTAGTGAAGGCTGAGCTGGTATTCTATCTTCACATTCTTTCCAATCACTTATTTAAAAAAATTAAATTGCATACAGTGAGCTATATTTTATCAATGAGTATTACATTTTTCAGATTTTAATTTTGTAGAATTAAGGAAAGTCAAGCGTTAATCTTCATAGCAAGCTTAACTTGGCCCTCTTGCAAGTATGTGTTGTAATAGGATCTTCAAATACATGATCACGCAATGCTGAGCAATGTGACACACTTCTCCACTTATGCTGCAATGCAAAGTTACTGCCATATAGGAGACCTAGCTTCAATTCATAGACCCAGATGCTCTGGTCCACTTTGTTCACGTTATGTCAGAAAAATTAGCTTTTACAGTTAGGCACATACTCTGCTTAATCTGGGCTTTAGGTACCTGGTTTTTAGGCATTCTTTGAAAATCTAGGCTAGATCAATTCTCTGGTGTTGCCCTCTTAGACCTCCTGGGCTGTGTAAATAAATATAATTGTAAAATACTGATTGAAATCTAAGATAATTTTTTTTCTATAAACTTGACTAGCACCTATGTGGCTTTGGCTTGCTGGCTATTCATTCATGGGGCAGCTACTAGTGTACTTCCAGTATCTTGCATGTGTCCTCAATTCTATTGCTTGAGTTATGTTTTAAACTACACCTTTTTCTATAACCCTATATGCATGTGTGAAACATTTTATTTTACTGTATAGATGTTATATACATTTGTGATGAAAGACCTTATTACAAATATAGTATTTTGCATCAAATAATTCGGTTTAATCGGATTGGGGTTTAAATAATGTAGTTCTAGATTTCAGACTTTGTTTTTTAATTGATATTGTAGGACCTGCAGAATCTGGGTGCTAGAAAAGTTTGTGTGATGACAGATAAGAACCTCTGCCAGCTCCCTCCAGTAAAAGCAGTATTGAATTCCTTGACAAAAAATGGAATCACTTTTCAAATGTATGATGATGTCCGGGTGGAGCCAACGGATCAGAGGTACTGTTTGTTTGTTTTTTATATATGCTTCCGAAAACTTATATTCTCAAAGTGTCTATTTAGGTTCTTATACCCATCACTATAGTATCTTTTGGTGCATCAATATTACAAAAAAGAACCCCCAGCAGAGAGTCTCAGAGCCCAGGTCCACTGACAGAAGCTCATGGGGCTCACACTGAAGGGCTAAAAATAGCAGTGTAGACACTCAGGCTGGAGCCTGGGCTCTGAAACCTGGGGAAAAGGGAGAGTCTCGGAGCCTGGGCTCCAGCCTGAACTCGAATGTCTACTTACACTGCTATTTTTAGCCCCATAGCATGAGCCTGAGTCAGTTCACCTGGGCTCTGAAACTTGCTGCTGCTAGTTTTTTTTTTTTTTGTCAGTTAAGACGGTACCCATAGTGCCTCTGATGTGTCAATGACATGTACATTGAGCTTAACAGTGTTTGCAGAAGTTTGTAAATTGCATGATTTAATGACAAAATCTTCTCTTCCTTCTAAGTTTCATAGATGCCATCACATTTGCTAAAAAGGGGGAGTTTGATGCCTATGTTGCTGTGGGCGGTGGTTCTGTAATAGACACTTGTAAAGCTGCCAACCTGTATTCATCCAGTCCTGAATCAGATTTCTTAGATTACGTCAATGCTCCCATTGGAAAAGGAAAGTCTGTTACTGTGCCTCTCAAGCCATTCATTGCAGGTAAAGAAGCAGAAGTGTGGTGTGTGTTTGTTTTGTTTTTTTCTTCCTTCAAGGCTCTGTGTAAGGTCTTCCTCTTGAATTAAGTTTACCTTTGACCATTTAACCCTCCCCTTGGACCTGCTTCTGCTCCAGTTGAATTTAATTGAAGTTTTGTCAATGATTTAAATGGGAATGGGATCTTGTTCTTCATCACCAGCTGCTCTTCTTTGAGTTAGTTATTTTACTCCTTTCGGGGGTTCAGAGGGTAAAATGACTGCTTCTGTCTGATCCATTGACCCTAGATCTATTAACTGGTTCTGATATACAATACCAAACCAAAGTACACCGTGATGGGAGGAATATAAAATACTCTGATCTGTACAGCCCACTATTAACTATATAATCCTTATGCTATAAGGAATGCATTTCATTGCTTATGTAATTGGACAGTGTTTTCTTTCCTTTTTTGATCACTGTGTGTTTTAAGGGTTCAGTATATCAGCATTTTATTAGCATTGACCTACCTAGTCCCAAATACGATAATTGGTGATACATTTATCTAACCAGTTAATTATCTATTACATTCTGGTTTTAGGGCTTGATCCAAAACCCAAAGAAGTGATGGAAAAACTCTTGTTGACTTTAATGGCCTTGAATCATCTCTTAGTAATTGACACATTTCTTTGTTCATACCACCTTTATTATCTTCCATTTAAAACCGCCCTCCCTTTCTTTCATACTTATAAAACCATGTGCAATTAATCCCATGAGGTGGATGATTAACAAAGAATGGTGATTAGTAAAGTTTAAAAGCTGCTTAGATATACAAACCGAGGCACGTTAAGCCCAAATCATCATTGTTCCAGCTTCCAAATGCGAAGAGAGCTGCTTTTATTAACAAAATGTTCATTTGCTTCCACCAGTGATGAATACAACCTGGTTTAAGGTTGGATGCGCAGCAGTAGATGTTAATGGTAATTTAAAGGGTCCGTAGCATCCCTTGTCTTGCTATGCCTTTGTACAGCGCATAGCACTATGGGGCCACAAAACTCTTTATGGCTTTTGGGTGCTACCACGATACAAATATGTAATAATCCTGGACTGCGCCTATGCTAGAAAAGCCATTTCTAAAGTTGATAAAAATGCTGTGCTACTCTTTATATAACATTGTGCTTTGTTTTATGCTAAGTTTAAACTTAAAATACTATCTTCTTTGAGTGCACGTGCCTACTCCTGGGATGCTCCCATTGTGCTATCAGTTGCACTGTCAGCATATCCAAAGAGCGTGACCGTGCAGAGTCCATTTCCAAAAACTCTGGTGACAGGTGAGTAACGCTTTTTTTGTCTGTTCTTCTTTTTAAGTTCCCACGACAGCTGGAACTGGAAGTGAAACCACTGGCATTGCCATTTTTGATTACAAAGAACTAAAAGTAAAAACTGGTAAGACTTTGTCTATTACTTACCTAGACTCTTTTCCAAACTTGCATCATTTTCCTCTGCTATAAGATAAAGAAACACCTTCTGTAATGTCAGCTGTCTTATGTCACTGTATTCAAAAGCTACAGACAAATCTCAGCAGATTAAAGCTTTCTCTCCTGAATGAAATTTTAAAGCAAGTTAGCAATGAAATGCATATATAATACAGCAGCTCATGATTTGAAGGCATAATGGGAAAGTAAAATCTTTGGTGGAATACGTTAAGTGCACAGGAAAGTTCTGCTTATGTTTGGGTTCAGCCAACTGTTCCTTATTTCCTCTTCTTTTTTTTTCCTCTTTTTAAGACCCCCTAGTTCTTTGTTGTATAATTGGGTCCGAATGTTTGTTTTCCTGACTTCTCGGGACCTCATGCCTGCAATGCAGCAAAAGAAAGGGACACTGTCTTCCTTTGACCTTTTCATCCCTGGAAAATAGGATTAAGGCTAAAATGTCATCTTTAAACTTCATAGCTAGTCTGAGATTTTGCTGTGGTCTTTTAACATTGGGTGGCTTTTATGTACCATGTATGTTGCAATATATGGGGCCCAACAGGGCAGATTAAGGAGTTTTAACTTGGATTAGTTGTGATTTCAGTCAGTCTAAAGCATGTAAGTATTATTATTAGCATGTCAAAAGAGCCATCACCAAAGCATCAAGACACAGATACCAAATGCAGCAAAACATCAAAACATCAATTTGTTCTAGAAAATGAACCAAATTTTCCTTCTGCTTGTCTGATGGCTGCTTATTTGTGAGCAGTTAGGTTAAAGATCAGTGTGGCTCGGGCCATTTCACAATCACTTTGACAATGTAGCTGCTGGGGCATTATGGAGTGTTTCCAGGCAAGAGTCACCACTCATGCAGGCTCCATGCTGCAAGAAACATTCTAGTCTTCAGTGTAGCAGACCCTGTAAGCTCATAGAAAAACTACAAGTTTCCAGTTGATAACCATCCCGGGCCCTTGGATTTTTATTTGTGCATGAAAAGTCAGCTGGATTGCAGGGGCTAGTAACCCTGACCAAAGCCATAAGACAAATCAGAAATAAAGGCAAATTTCCCACATTAGCTGGGGATGGTAAACGGGTTCTAATAAGCAGATTGTCAAAGACTGGGATGTAGGCGGTCAGTTCTAGTGGTTAGAGGAGTGGTGGTGGTCAGGACTAGTGGTTGGAGCCTGAGTTGGGAGCCAGGGGTTGGAGCTGAAGACAGTCAGGAGTCAGGCCAAGGGTCAGAGTCAATAGTTGGGGATGGGGCACAGAAGCAGGGATCTGGAAAGTCAGGAGGGCAGGAACAAGGCAGGGGTCAGGATTCAGGTGGGAGGGCAGGATCCGATGTGGAAGTCAGCCAGGGATTCACTTAGTTACTCAAACAACATCTTGGGCTTCTGTCTGGATTAAATAGTGAGTTTGAGCCAATCATAAAGGACAGATGTCTCCTCCAATCAGGAGCTTTGTGGGTAGTGTCTCTGGTGAGCTAGAATCCATCAGCCCACATTCCTTGCTGATAGCAGTGAGCTGCTGGGTGTTGGCTGCGGACCCGCGTTCGAGACCTGCAATCATAGAATCATAGAATATCAGGGTTGGAAGGGACCTCAGGAGGTCATCTAGTCCAACTCCCTGCTCAAAGCAGGACCAATTCCCAGCTAAATCATCCCAGCCAGGGCTTTGTCAAGCCTGACCTTAAAAACCTCTGAGGAAGGAGATTCCACCACCTCCCTAGGTAACCCATTCCAGTGCTTCACCACCCTCCTAGTGAAAAAGTTTTTCCGAACATCCAACCTAAACCTCCCCAACTGCAACTTGAGACCACTACTCCTTGTTCTGTCATCTGGTATCACTGAGAACAGTCTAGATCAGGGGTAGGCATCCTCTGGCACTCATGCCGAAGGCGGCACGCGAGCTGATTTTCAGTGGCACTCACACTGCCTGGGTCCTGGCCACCGGTCCGGGGGGCTCTGCATTTTAATTTAATTTTAAATGAAGCTTCTTAAACATTTTAAAAACCTCATTTACTTTCCATACAACAATATTATAGATTTATAGAAAGAGACCTTCTAAAAATGTTAAAATGTATTACCGGCACGCGAAACCTTAAATTAGAGTGAATAAATGAAGACTCGGCACACCACTTCTGAAAGGTTGCCGACCCCTGGTCTAGATCCATCCTTTTTGGAACCCCCTTTCAGGTAGTTGAAAGCAGCTATCAAATCCCCCCTCATTATTCTGTTCGGCAGACTAAACAATTCCAGTTCCCTCAGCCTCTCCTCATAAGTCATGTGCTCCAGCCCCCTAATCATTTTTGTTGCCCTCCACTGGACTCTTTCCAATTTTTCCACATCCTCCTTGTAGTGTGGGGCCCAAAACTGGACACAATCCCTGTACAGGTGTGCAGAAACGATTGGTAAATCAGCATCTGAATTATTTTCCACCAAGTCTGACTTCTTAGTTTGGAAGGAATCAATTTCTGTTTCTGCTGGTTGACAGTCTCTTTCTCCTATGCTGGGATGGAAAATATGGATCACTGTAGGGCTGAGTGGATCATTCAATTTCTGTGTCCATTCAGTCTTTGTATCTTCACTCTTTCTGCTGAGTCTGCCAGTGAGGGTGCACTTTTTGGGATGTAGAAACCTGGGACAAGATGAAGAGCATAAGCTCATTTCACTTTAAGGTCTTCATCAGCCAGCATTTAGTAACGCCCTTTGGCAACCGACCTTCCTAAGATGGATTTGAATAGTTGATTTAGAGGTGAAAAACCTATCCCATTACCTGTGTAATTCAGACCCCCAGAAAGATTGTCTTTAAGACTGACAAAGTGAATATTTTTGCAGAATCTTGGTCAGTTTTCTCAATAGAATTTAGATGCATATGCATTTCAGGCTCTCCCTTTCCTTCTTTTATTATTAATGGCAATCACTTGTCCTGAGACTTTAACTTTTCTTTTACAATTTGAGGATTAAGACTTTCTGTCTTCTGTGTTGTTTATTGACAACAATCCTTTTTATTAACACACTTTTATAATTCACATGTTTTAGGCATTGCTTCTAGAGCCATTAAGCCCACATTGGGTATGATTGATCCTTTGCATACAATCCATATGCCAGAGCGAGTAGTGGCCAACAGTGGCTTTGATGTGCTTTGGTAAGTAGTCTATGTGGGGTGCTGGATTTGCGGGGAGGAGTCATTTTAACTTAGAAAAACAAATACGGTACTTTAGAGGGAGAAAAAGGACCATTTTCCCCAACATGTCCATTTTCAGTCTGTCTCAGTCCCACCTTCCTGTTTCTTCAATGCACCATTCCCCTCGGTCCTTCTCACCCTTTGAAACAAATCCAAGTGCCTCACTCAGTTGTATAAGATGAAATGTACATTGGATGCATGGACCAAAATACCAACTATTGGAAGTGTGAATCCTTGAGGCCAGCTTTGAAGGTTTAAATGCTTTGCTGGAGCACAAGCAACACATGGCAAACCTAATTTAGGCTGTCTGACAGTCATCTGCTTCTCATGAGCAGAGACTAGAATAGCAGGGACTTTAGGGGTCAGGACCGAAGCGCATTGACGTTCCACATTCTGTGGAAGTCTGTGAGGTGCTGAGCGCTGCAGACAAGGTCTCAATCTCCCTCAACTCACAAGACTGGCCCAGTTTGTATTATAGCTGCTCCAAACCAGTGCTTTTAGTACGTTGCTTAGCACAAAAGTTCTTCAAAGTTTTGAAAGACACATTGGAACAATCATAGATTAAGGATTTTAACTGCATAAGATATGCAGAAGATTGGATTCATTGATACAGCTGCTTGTTTATGCAGAGACACCTTAAGGAAATAGATGTTAAAACAGGATGACAAATGTATTGAAAGTTATAATTGTGGTATTTCTCAAACTATTAGCTGACTATAGTGTCTGGAAAAATTCATTATTTTTAATGGAGTTTAGTTATTTATTTTTAAGCTCTAAATGGTTTGGCTTTAAATGCTTTTCTATTGGTTAAAAATGTAAATAATGCTTATGTTTCACGACTGCCATACCTAGGAGACTTGTCCATCCAGTATTCTTGAATATCAAACTCCCAGTTTTTTAAGGTCAACCTTTAAAAGAAGGTAGATTATTATGTTGATAGTCCTGGAGTCTTTAAATCTCTCCTGTCCTGTAAGAAGGGAATGCCCCTTTTGCAGGAGCTCAATGTTGTTCAATGGAACTGAGCTTGTAAAATGCCAAATCCCTTGCAGGACAGACTTTGTATAGGAGAAAAATGGAACCTTTCCGTTTTCAAGTATTTCTTCCTTTTAGCCACGCACTAGAAGCGTACACTGCTCTTCCTTACAAGATGCGCAGTCCCTGCCCTTCAAATCCAATCAACCGGCCTGCTTACCAAGGCAGCAACCCTATCAGTGATGTTTGGGCTGTCCACGCACTGCGCCTTGTGGCAAAGTATTTGAAAAGGTAATGTATGCCTAGCAACCTTTCACCTTGATGATAGGTTTGATCCTGAACACCTGGCAGGAAGAATGCTGGTGAGGACCTGAGTGCTAGACTCTGAGGGTACATCTACACAGCAAAGAAAAACCCACGGCTGGCTTGTGCCAGCTGACTTGGGATTTCGGGGTACTGGGCTATTTCACTGTTGTGTGGACATCTGGGCTCAGCTGGAGCCCGAGCTCTAGAACCTTCTAGTCCCAGAGCTCGGGTTGCAGTCCAAGCCTGGAAGTCTACACAATGAAATAGCCCTGCAGCCTAAGCCCTGCAAATACAAGTCAGCTGGCATGGGCCAGCCATGGGTTTTTCTTTGCTGTGTAGACGTACCCGGAGATGAGGTGAATCGCTATTTTAGGACATAATTTGCTATCCTAGACCCTGGCTTTGTTCTTAGCAAGGCAGAAAATGCCCAATAAAATTGGAACTAGGTTAGGCTGAACAAAGTTGATTTTCAGGGGTGACTTTTTAAAGCAATGCATGAGGATTTAGTTGAGAATCCCCGATGTATAGTCATGAGTTGCACAGCTAAATCCTAGAGCAACGTACCTCTTAATATTCACCTTTCCATAACAACCTTAGGCAGAACACATTATAAGATGACACATAAGTACTGCTATCATCTGTCTATATGGCTTTCAGTATAGTGAAAGGACATTTATATAAAATACTATGCAAGTACATCAAGTAAACATTCACCTATGAGGTGTTAAAATTATATGTTTGTTTGAAAGTAGCTCATTTAGAGTACAGCCTAAATGGAGAGGCTTTTGTTGACTTCAGTGGGAGATGATCTAGCCTGTGAGTAACTTTCAGCTGTTCTGTTTTTTATAATCTGAGGATCAACACTTTTTCATCTAAAAGGCTTTTATAGCACATAGTTATGCTGACATCCTATTTATTATACCTTTAGGGTGGAATTTGCCCATGAGAGTCTTTCTGTATCATCAAAGTCCTGAAGCAGACCTGGGTGTGAGGAGGGAGAGTGGCCAAAACCCTCTGAAGCTCTGAAGGCGGGCTCCATGCCAGCACCAAATCAGATGATGTTGAGGGAAGAGCTGGGGGAGGTCTGGGATCTGCACTTATGCTAGTAGGCAGGAACCCCTACACAGGGGAAGGGAAGGAACAGTGGCCGTAATTCCAGTTTCTAAACTGACCCAGCTCCTACCTTGGCCCTTATATCAGGGCCAGCTGTGGCCTGATTGGGTGTGGCCACAGCTGTGGCAGCTCTTCACCCCTTTTCTAATTGGGTCGCAGCCACATCCCTCTCCAAGGGCTGCTTTTAACCCCTGCTCTCCTGGAGTGGGGCAGCCACCCTACTACAATCCCATTTACACAACTGCTGTAGAGTGAAGGGTGAGTTTTGCCTTTACTGAAGCAGTTTCGTGTAAACAGACTCTTTCTCTTTGATTATCTTTCTATCTGATCCTTTGCCCAGCTCTTTTTCCATTTTTATTTTCGTTCCGATTGTATTACCCCAAATGAGCGTTTTCCCCTCTCCTGAGTGTGTCAATGCAGGTGTGGATTTCTTAGTGTTCAATGTTTGTGCACAGAGCTGTCAGGATGCCAGATGATCATGAAGCAAGGGCTAACATGCACCTAGCAAGTGCTTTTGCTGGCATCGGCTTTGGCAACGCTGGTGTTCATCTTTGGTGAGTAGAGGACGTGTGTCAGCCCCTTTCTAAAACCCTGTTTCTTTAGTGTTTGTTTCAAATTGTGTAGGAAGCTTTCAGACAAGCAGTCCCTGAACTAGTGATGTGATAAGATGCTTTGGGCCAGATTGTCATACCCTTCTTCACGTGAAAGAGTACCTTATGTCATGAGTATTCCTACTGAAGTTGATAGGACCCTTTTGTGGAGTAAGGTGGTACTTGTTATTCATAAGGATAACGCAGTCAAGTCTTATGAAAGTTTCTAGGACCAAAATTTGACCTACTTTACCTTGCTTGTAGGCACAGGTTGCATAATGTTTTCCTTTTTTATAAAAAAAAAAATCAAATGTTAGTGTTCACGCTTCTAAAAATAAATAACACATTTAACACTCTCAGTTGTGCAGCCCTGTAATAAACACCAATAACACCCCTATAATAACAAGCTAGTGAACATACCCAGAGGAAAAATCTTCTGCCTTTCCTGAATCAAGGCCACATGTAATAAAACTTGTTACTGGGTTAATTGTTTTGCAGACTAAAATGAGCTATAATTACTTAAAGCTCTTTAATTATATCCACAGAAATGTTAATGCCCATCCAAATGAGCTAATGACGGTCACGTCTTCAGTTCAGTAAAGTACATATGAATGTTCCCATTGAAGTCAGTGGCACCACTCCTATGCTCATAATTACGTATGGGCTTAATGTGTTGAATCAAGGCCTAAACCCAAAATTCTACAAAAAATCATTGCAACTCCTTATAAATATTAATCTATTCTGAGCTCGTCTCTGCACTCCTTTGGTTTGATCAAGTAAAATCCCCTTTGTAAATAAACTTCCAAAACTTTCCCTTAAGCACGGTTAGCATGATAAGAAACTCCCAGATTTTGATAGTAAGGTAAAAAATGTCTAAGGTACTTTGAGCCGACCCCGTTATCCCAGTATCTGAACACCTCGTGATCTTTTAATGTGTGAGCTAGAGAAGTGCTGTGATCTCCAGTTTATAGATCAGGACCTAAGACACAGAGCAACTAAGGGCAAGATTTTTGAAGTTTTCCGATTGGCTTCAGTGGGACTTAGGCTCCTAAATACATTTAAAATTCTGCCCCTCAGTGACTTATCCAAGGTCACACAGGAAGTGTTACAGAGCAAGGAATTGAACTGAGGTCTCCCGAGTCCCAGGCTAGTTCCCTGACCACTTTCTTTCTTCTCCAGCCATGGAATGTCTTACCCTATTTCTGGTTTGGTGAAGAGTTACAAAGCAAAGGATTATAACGTCGATCATCCTCTGGTGGTAAGAACTGATTATTTTCATTTTCTTACATATTCCTAGCTCTTGTACTTATCTTACATTAACAAGCTATAAATTATGTTAGCCTAACAAATTTATTGTGGCAGCAGTGAGAAGTCTGTCTAATGTGCACCGTGTTTTGTTTTTCTCCAGCCACATGGTCTTTCTGTGGTACTCACCTCCCCCGCAGTATTTACTTTCACAGCAGAGATGTGCCCCGAACGGCACTTGGAGGCTGCAGAGATACTAGGTATGAATCTCTCTTCATAAAACCTACTGGTACAAATCAAGTTTGTGACTGGGGTCCCAATGGAGTAATATGATCACTCAATTAGGGTGAACTGCAAAGAATGGAGCAGCCAAACCCCAAAAAGCTGGTGGATATTCCAATACTTAGATTTACCAAATCAGCATAAAATAGCTTCTTTATTACCTTACTAGTTACTCAGAAGTCCAAACAACACAGTTCCCTTAAAGTGATCCAGCCTCAGGCCTCCATCCAGGTACCTAAGTCAAATATGATGAAGATTCCTGAAAATCTTATTTCATCACATAAAAGAAAAGGAACAGGCACATTACCTCCTAGGTTATTGAATATTCCAGATCTTACCCAAATACTCACTACAGCCAATTATTAACTAAACTAAACTTTATTAAAAAACAAAAGAGAGAGAGAGAGAATGGTTAAAAGATCAATATCTATACAGACATGAGTTCAGTTCATTTAGGTGCAGATTTATATCAGAGATGTTGAGCTTTGTAGTTGCAAAGAGTTATTTTAGATATAGTTCATAGGCTATAGTCCAATGTCCAAACATCATATTCAGGACGTACCAGCATAACTGTGACCTCAGTCTTGCGACTCAAACTTCCCCTGATGAAGCCTAAGCAGATCTGAGATAACAGAATCAGGACCCAAGGATCTTTTGTCCAATTTCATGTCCTTTTTGAGAAGTTGGAGTTCAAAGGCAAATTAGGATGACTTTAAAGGCGGTCCATCACCAGTACCTAACTATAGAATTAACATAAGGCCATTTGCTTGTTCCTCTACCATTCACATATTATTTGCTATACATCTCAGAGAGATGAATACAGAGATATCCCGTGTTTAAAATTCATTTAAATGCTAGGATGCTCTTCTGATCTCTGAATTCTCAGAATACAGCATAGACAGGGACTGTTGATTACATCCTTGACCCTACTCATATATATGTAAAAACAGAAAAACACAAACATTATCTTCCCATGTGTCTTTTGAGGGTTATTTATTTTGCGGGATGTTTAACCCTTTCTAGCCATGCATCACAAAGTTCTTTCAAAACTAGCTTTCGGAGGGGGGTGGGGAATCTCGGTATATAAAGAATAAAAAAGTGGGTTGTGATCATTCAGAATCTAAAAATTAGGGCTAGATCCTGGAGTCTGGCTGGGCACAGCACAAGGGGGGATAGTTGTGTGAAGATGGGGTAAAACTCACCTTTGTCACTTCCCCCAATCCTTGATCCATGGGTCTCCAGGCAGAAGTTAAAGGAGCCTTTAGGTTTCACCCTCTGTCGTTTTAGACTGCAACTTACACTCCAAGGGGCCAAAACTATAGTGAGGAAGTGGTGTAGCATAAGGACATCCCAGCCATGCTCTCCTTTCCCCTCCTCTTATGCTGGAAAGTTAGGTCATATAAGAACGTCTGCTCTAGCGCTGTACTCCCACCTGTTCCATCTTTGCTCTGGGGTGATCATCCTGCAGCTGGGTATGCTAGCTCACAGGCAGGATCTGCTGGTAATGTGGCACATGACAGCAGAGGAGCTGACCCTAGAAATCTTCTTTCTAACTGGAAAACTTTCAAATTGAAAACAACTCATGTATGAAATGAAGATTAGCTTGATTTCATTTAGCAGAGAGTAGTTATGACTGATGTCTCTGGTGTGTATGAAGGGAAGACACTTAGGAGTAGATAGCATAAAGCAGGGGTCGGCAACATTCGGCACGCGGCTCGCCAGGATAAGCACCCTGGCGAGCCGGGCCAGGTTTATTTACCTGCTGACGCGGCGGGTTCGGCTGATCACGGCCCCCACTGGCCACGGTTCGCCGTCCCAGGCCAATGGGGGTGGCGAGAAGCCATGGCCAGCACGTCGCTCGCCCGCACCGCTTCTCGCCGCCCCCATTGGCCCGGGACAGCGAACCGTGGCCAGTGGGGGCCGCGATCAGCCGAACCTGCCGCGTCAGCAGGTAAATAAACTGGCCCGGCCCGCCAGGGTGCTTATCCTGGCGAGCCGCGTGCCGAACGTTGCCGACCCCTGGCATAAAGCATAGGGAGCTTTAAGTACACTTACATCTGCATTAGCTAAAAGGAAGTGATTATAAAACAAACACAGTTAAACACTTGCAAGCAGGAAACATGTTGAAAGAGGAAATATTTTCCTTCACAGTGGATAATTAATTCTGTACAACTCAATGCTACAAAATATCCAGAAACTTGGTAGGTTTCAAGAAAAGATTAAACCTTTAGATGGATTGTGAGACTGTCTATACTTACTTTAAAAAGGACATATACAACATTAGAAGGGATTTAGACACTTCTGCTTCAGAACATGGAGTTAGAAAGAATCTTCCCCTATTGGCAGATGATTCTGTAATTGCTGGATATGGGGTTTCTTATAATCGTCTGATTATATATAGCAATTCCTACGTCCCTACAAGAAGCCCTTCAATAATAACCTTTATTCAAATGGTAATACTCTGTCTTATACGTTGGCTGAGAAAATACTAAAAATATGTATCTTGTATGGCCAGCTCGGAGTATCTGGCATTGCAATTCTTAGTTACATTTGACTTCCTCAATGGAAATTCAACTGGTTACTGTCTGCTTTACTGTTATATAAAGGATTCTGTATAAAATGAATCAAGTGTGTATAAGTGAACTTGTTGATTCTCATCTTGGGTATTTACTTTGGGACCATAATTCAGTGTCCAAGTGACTGCAGTAGCTGATTCAAATATGTTAGGTTGCCAAACACCATGCCTAGCGGTAAAGTAGTAACAAACAGCCATGTTTATGTATATGTACAGCTGCAGATTTGAGTACAGCCAAATAAAAGCTTAATGCCTCTCCTGATGGAAATAGGGGTGTGTGGCCGTAGATTTATTGCAGTAAAGGAAATATAAGTGCAGCCTGAAGAGTGATGCATTCTTTAGGTTAGCAAAAGACTGGTCCCTGGAACAATAACATTTGGGGTGTTTTTCATCACCTTTTTAGTCTGGCTTTTCAGACCTCCTCTTCTCTTCTTCATTCGTTTCTTTCCTTTCCTTCTCTTTTGCTACTATCTGATCATTCCTGAAGCCCTTATATTCTAACTGCCCTTTATACTGCAACACAGAGAATGGCCATTGACTGCGTGGCAATAATTCCAGTAGCATGAAACTTCATATGAGACTCCATCATGCTTCATCACCTAATCCCTTATAGACACTGCCATCTTGCTACTTTACTATCCAAACATCTAAGCCCCCTGAAATGAGTTTGTTGTTCTCCCATTAGCTTTAAACTGTTTTGACTGTTGCACTGAGTTCTTGGAGAACCAGAGTGCATTTTCCTGTAGTTATATTTCACATTTACTCATTTTTCAGTAAACTGCATGAGACAAGTTCAGTTCTGGTATAACTCCATTGACTTAATTGGATTTACACTAGGAATGAATTTGGCCCAAATGGTTTAAAAATAAAACTTGGGATGTTTTTCTTGCCTTTATGCATGTACATCTTTCCCATTTCTAACGGAGCTATGGACACCCAGGGAGGGAGGGGGAATAGCCTTTTTCTAAGAAACATCTGTAGCTTTTCTATAAATGTTGACTTTAACCTCCTTTTCATAGCTGTTTCTAGGACTGTAATTCCTCATCTTCTATCTAATCTACCTATTTATTCTAATCTATATTATATCATACTAACTAATATATTATCCAAACACCTGAGGTAGCTCCACCCATAGAGCCCCCTTCCTTCCCTCCGCCCCCTTCCACCCTTTTGAATGCTTGTCAACATAAAATTGAGAAGGGGGAGGGAATCATTAGTCATTGGTTCACACATCCTCTAGATGTCAGCAAACTCAAGGCTTTGAAAAAATGAGTATATGGCACTTTGTCCCTAAAAATAAATATTATGGCTATCCACTGACACTGATCTGGTCTAACTTCCTTTCCACACTGCTTTCAGCAATTAGTCTGACTGAGAAGTGCTTTTCCAGGCAAGTACAGTGGGAGAGGAAGTTAACTTGACAAGGCAGTTAGTCTTTCTAGCAGCAGTGAACTTGCCTCTCCTGATTTTGTTTTATTCCATCTCTACAAACTAGTCTAACTGCAAAATGAAGATAGAGATTCCCCTTTTTTATTTGGGGTTGCCTTTAGCGAGTAGGCTGTTATATGTGGATATATGCCGCTGCTATTATGATTAAATTAAATCCAGAACAGCCTCCTCCTCTTTCTCCACCCTACAGTCAAAGCTTTGTCTTATTTTAGGAGCTGACATCCGCACTGCCAAAATCAAAGATGCTGGGCTTATTTTGGCAGACACGCTCCGGAAATTCTTATTTGATCTGAATGTTGATGATGGCTTAGCTGCAATTGGTTATTCTAAAGCAGATATCCCTGCTTTAGTGAAAGGCACTCTCCCTCAGGTAAGACAGAAAACACAGGTGATTTTTTCCTAAAAAGCAAACTTTTAAAACATTTTCTTTTAAAATAAATGTTCCATTTACCAGTTTTAAATGGAGAGAATGATAGTCAGTTCTCTTCTCCTAGTACAGATTGGGTTTTCTTTGTCAGTGAGATAGTGTGTGTGTGTGTGTGTGTGTGTGTGTGTGTGTTGTTTGGTCTTCATCTATCATTCATTCATCTTCAAAAGAGAGGCTAATTATTAGAGCTGGTCAAATAATGCAACATGCACATTTTTTCAGGTGGGAAAAGGAACGTGTTTTTGCCGAATTTTTTGTGAAAAATGTTCCCATTTTTTTATCTAGCTGTTCTAATTATACAGGCAAGTAAGTTTCTAGCTGATGCTTTTATAAGACTGCTATGTGCTAAGAATAATTAAACTTGCTTTGCATTAGATTTTCCCTACCAAGGAGTTTCAATACTCTTCTAGATGGCTTTGTTCCACTGCCCTCCATCTGAATTTGAACTAATGTCCTCCTGGAATGAAACAGTTTACACTTTTAATACCCTTTACATTTTTATACTCACAAAAAACATTTCAAGTAAGATGGACTGAAATTAGAGGAAAATTCATTAATTCCCAAGTAAATGAGGACATATTCTGAAGATTTGTCATGCTGAAAAAAATTAAAAATTTTCACTTTCTTATAACATCTATAAACCTCAAAGCCTGTTACAAAAGATGTCCTCATTCCCATTTTACAGGAGGGGAAGTGACTTGATCAAGGTGTCAAACTGATTAGTAGCAAAATTTGCAATAAAACCGAGGTCTCTTGCTCCCGAGCTGATGCCCTGCTAAATGTGTGTGACAGGACTTTTTGACAGTTTGTGTTGATAAATATGTTGGTCCTTTAAAATATTACTTTTTACAGATAATTATAAACACAACATCCCAAGGAAGTATATTTTTTTGTTGTTGCTTTGCTGAGATTCACCTGTGGCTTGGGTTTTTTTTTCTCATCTGTAACTGATTATTAATTCAGAAGCCCATCTTAATTTACTGTCCTTTTACTGCATATATAACAAGGTGAGCTAATATGTTTTCAAACCCTAATTTAGTATACAAAGTATACTGTGGTCCAAATTCATTTGCTACTGCCTGTGTAATACATTACCTACAAGGGGATTTCAAACAGTTAACTCTTTGATATTTTTTCTTTTGATCCAGCCATCAGTTTTCTTTGGAACACCAACACCACCTATTAATATTCACAAAACACCTTAGTCCAGATTGAGACCACAAATAAACAAACACTGCCAAGTGTACTACCACCATAAAATGCATGCTGCAGAGAAATAAAATGATTAACAGGTTTTAGTCAGCCAGTTTGGAGGTTTGAAACCTTGGAGCATAATGTTTACACTTGAAATAGCTCATTTTTGAGAAAACCTGTTGAAAATGATCCTGCTTACAATACAGCAAGGAAGTCTGGAGAAGAAGTTTATGTTCCATGGGCCAAATAACGGCTGGTCCTGTGTGGGTGTTCTGGTTGGGGGGGCGGGAAGTGTGGATTTGAAAGGAGAGGTCAGAAGGGCCCATTTGCTAGCCGCACCTCGCCTCCATGTAAACATACAAGAGGCAGCTATAATTTGGCTGCAACCACTGATGAGCACCAGGGGTGTGGATGACTAGCCCTGGCGCAAGAATTTACCAGCTCAGAGAGGCAGAGTCACAGTTCCATTCTCTGTGTACTGGCGATATCACCAGGACTGTGTTAAGGGAATGCAAGCTGCATCTATTTAAAGGTATAGTAAAAGCTTCTATTCATTGCACTCCATCCAGAGCCATTGGGAACATTGTGGCCCTTTACAGTTATCATGTCTCCCATCATCTGCTTGGACAGGTGTTCTTAGCCCATCTGTGCGCTCCACTGACAGGCAGGAAAATTGGCCTGATGACACCATTGAGCACCATAAATAACTAATTTTTTTTAGTGTTAAACTAGTGGTAAACCTAGGTAGAACCTTAGTTTTTGTCCTAAGTAATGTGAAGCCTTTTTTTAACACTGTAACACGTGTTAGCTTTTTCTCTATACCAGGGATCTCAAACTCAAATCACTACGAGGGCCACATGAGGACTAGTACATTGGCCCTAAGGCCGCATCACTGAAACCTTTTCATACAACGATACAAAAGTATAGTCAAAAATGAAAAAATGAAGAGTAATATAGTATGCTATTAAAAGTCAATGTATTAACTTTTTTTAAACTGTAATGTGAAAAGTCAGTGCTAATTTTGACAGACATTTCATTTTTGGCCACTTAGCTGGCAGCGTTTTGCATGAACCAGAGCATCAATATTAGGTTTGATATCCTGAGACGAAACCATTCTCAGTGTTGGTTGCAAATGTTCATCAGTGAGCCTTGACCTTAACACGGATTTGTTAATCTTCATGGAAGAGAAAAACTGTTCACATATATATGTACTTCCAAACATTTGCCATTACCCTTGCGGAAGCAGAGAATAACATAGGAAATCTTTCTTGTGAAAGAAACTGGTAGAATTCTGGAATTCCAACATCTGTATACTTCTGCTTCAAAATGGTATCACGCTGAAGCTCCACTAACTCCATCTGCATTTCCTCTGCAACATTGTCAATTTCCACAGCAAATGGTGTGGAAAAAAGTTGAAAATGTGGTTCAAGTGCCTTGAAATCTTTAAATCGCACATCAAACTGTTTGTGCAAGTTAGAAATGATATCTGCATATTCTTTCAAGGATATGGGTTCAACTTTTCCTAAGGAATTCAGAGTTGAGAAATGGACCAAATTGCCAGCAGTCAGCTGTTTTCCCCCACAAAGTAAGCTTGACTTTGAATGACTTAATACTGTCATACATCTGTGTTATCGCCTGTTTTCTACCCTGAAGCTTCAAGTGCAGTGCATTCAGGTGATCAGTTACATCTGTTAGAAAAGCAAGGTTGCAGATAAAAGTGGAATCAGCAAGCTGTGGAACCTCCTTGTTCTTCATTTTCATGAAGGAATCAATCTCCTCTCTAAGTGCAAAAAACCCTTCAAAACATTTCCACAATTCAGCCATCTAACTTCAGTGTGATACAGAAGTTCCCCATATTCGCTGTCCGTACTTGCTAGAAAAGAAGTGAACTGTCTGTGATTCAGCCCTCATGCACGTATAAAATTAACGGTTTTAACAACTACATCCATAACTTCCTTCATTTGTAGACTGTTACTACACAGAGCTTCTTGGTGCAAAATGCAACGTATACTGGTGAAGCTAATTCCTGGTATATTGAGGCTGTTCAGTTTGGTCTTCAATAATCCAAATACACTAACGTTTTCAGAGCACATTGATGGTGCACCATCCATAGCCAAAGATACAAGTTTGTTCCATGGCAGCGCAGCTTTTTCAATGCACTCTTCCAGTCCTTGAAATGTCATGTCCCGTTGTGATACCCTTCAGTGGCGTTTAGTCTAGCAATTCTTCAGTTATATTCAAATTACAATCTACACCTCTAATGAACACTGCACACTGTGCAGTATCTGATGCATCTGTACTCTCATCAAGAGCAATTGAAAATGCTTCGAAGTCTTTTGCCATTTGAATCCATTGTTTCTGTACATTATCTACTAAATCCGTTATCCTGCAGGCAACTGTATTGGCAGACAAGCTTATGCCTTGAAAAACTTTCTTCCTATCACGACATAAAATTTCACTGGCCTTCACAAGACATTCTTTTAAGAATAGGCCTTCTGTAAAAGGTCGCGATGATTTAGTTATTTCGCTTATCACAAAACTTGCTCTTAATGAATCTTCGCTAGACTTGTTAATCTCCTAAAATAAATTTCTTTGCTTGGCAAATGCTGCTTTAAGTTGCCGAACTTTTTCCTCTCGGATTTTTCCGGTGAATGCATCATATTTTTCACATTGCATCGTGTCGTAGTGCCGACACACGTTATACTCGTTGGGAACAGCAATCGTTTGCTGAAAAGTAAGGGATTGTATTTTATCTTTTATCTCTGTGGAAAAACTATGAATTCTCCCATTTGTCTTGGAAAACTTTTTCTTCCATGAGTGTTTTGTTTTTTTTACACTGAAGTAATTTCAGAGGGGTTTTAATAAAATATAAACACACAGTAATGCACCTCACTCAAATGACAAAACACGCATTTACTTTTAGAATTACTTCCGTTCAAGATGGCGGTATCATCAGAAAGACAAAGAGTAAGTAAGTAAACACACTTAAAAATAGGGCTTGATATCGTACGTGGACTGTTCTAAATACACCTCTACCCCGATATAACGCTGTCCTCGGGAGCCAAAAAATCGTACTGCATTATAGGTGAAACAGCGTTATATCGAACTTGCTTTGATCCACCGGCGCGCGCAGCCCAGCCCCCCCGCCTCCCCGGAGCGCTGCTTTATCGCGTTATATCCGAATTCGTCTTATATTGGGTCGCGTTATATTGGGGTAGAGGTGTATAGATTTACAGGTAAATTGTGACCATGATGCAACGCGCTGTCCGCCATGTTTTTCGGACAACAATTCTTGTAGTGCAGTGGCCTTTTCACTGTACTTGTATAATATTATACAAGATTCGCACTCGACAATGAATATTTTTAACAAATATTAGCAGTAAATAAATTCCATCATAAACAATAATCCTCATTGATTTTTTCCCCATTCAACAATCTCGACATTATGTAAACAACAATGATGCCGATGTACATTACCTTTCAACAAGTTCTTTCTTGTTCCCAATATGCTTCAATTCCCGACACTGTAATCATCTTTTCAGCCGGATTTTAAAGTGCTTTTCCATTAAAGAATGTCAGTTTTGCACCTGGAACATCATTTTCAGTTAATGTTATGTGCATAAATTCGTTGTTACAAGCCATTGTTCACAGTATTTTTGCTAAGAATCGGTCCCTGGCTGTCTGAAAGTTTATCTGTTCTATTTTTAGAATGATCAGACACGTATGACATTCGTGTACGGTATCAAGCTCTATTTGCATTATTAATTATTTTACAAATTCTGGGTGTCGTTGCGGTCCACAGGAACCCGTGTGTTTGAGACCCCTGCGCCATACTGTACCTTTCTCTGCATAACCTGGGAGGAAATCTCATGAAGCTGTTGAATGTGAGAGAGTAGAAATATTGATTGTAACGAGCTAGCGTAATGACAGAAACTTTGTTTTTCCCATTGGCCTCTGATGACAAAGCAGAGTCCTCTCTTGCAACACCACTGTTCCAGTACTGGACAACTCCCAAGTTAACAAGCTAATAGTTTCAAATATCCTAGGAACTTTCAAGACCAATTATAGGGCTTAGAGCCCCAAGTCAGCAAAGCACAAAGCATGTGTTTTTTAATTTCATTTAAGTCAGCAGGACTTAAGCACATGCTTAAGTGCTCTGCTGAATCCTGGATCCAGGGAGACATTCTTTCTGAACATCTATTTTGTAATGTGATTTCAGAAAGCTAGTTCATTAAACAACCTCACTACTTGGTCCTTCCATACCTGTATACTGTGGATGTTTAAATTAATCCTCATTCTTTCAAAGTCTAATTCTGCTAAGAGTTAATCCACTTCCGTTGGTTTCAGTGGGAGTTAGGGTCACTCAGTATCTCATAGACTTTGATCCGTCCGTTGTGTGGATTGAAGCCACAATTTTCAAAGTTGGGTGCCTAAAATTAAGTTCCTAATTCTGTATTTAACAGTCTGCATTTAAAAAAAAAATTCAAAAGTGCCAAACACCAAAAAACCCCACTGAAGTTACTGAGAGGCCAGGTGCTCGGCCACTTTAAAATTAGGTCACTTCTATTTAGGAGTTGAACTTCAGACATCCAACTTTGAAAATGTTGTTGTCAATGTTTATGAAAATTACAGTAAAACCTGTCTGATTCTCTAAAAATTCCCACACATAACCAGCAATCTCATCCCCCTTTCTTAGCAAATATTTAACAGCATGATGCTCTAGTGGCGTTTTGTATTATAGGACTTAATACATTTTGTGCTCTGTAGTACAGCATGCTAAAATATACCTAAATATTATACACGCAGCAGGTAGCACCGCCTATTATTAAGGGTGCCCAGCACTTCCCATTGTAAGATCATGTTCTCGGTTGCTTATAAATAGTGCTGGGCAAAATTTTTCAGTTTCAGATGGAACTTTCTGTCACTGAAAAATATAGATTTGGGTTGACTGAAATATATTGCAAATTCATGTCAAACTTGCCAGATTGTTTTAGTTGGGAAAAGAAAACTCAAAAAAATTCCTCAAAAATGGAAATGTTTTGTTTCAACATTTTTGAAATGAAGCATTTTGGTTTGAAAGCTTTTTATGTCAAATTTTACTTGAATTTTATTTAAACAAAAAACACAAATGAAACACTTTTTTGACCTGAAGCAATTTTTTTAAATTATTTTTTTGGTTTTAGTTTTTTGGTTTGTTACTGAACACGCAGCTCTACCTATAATTTGGATAATCTTTGAGCTGAATTTTTTCTTCCTGGGGTTATGCTTCAGGTGAACGTTTTTGGAAAATGTTACCTAAAATGATCTAGCCATTTCCAAGAACAAAGCAAGGGAAAAATATGTTGGCCTTGTCCATGTAAATTCTGTCAACCTTTTCTCTGGAAAGCTCTAGTTTCTTTGTGCTTTGGAGCAGAGGCTCGAAATCTGGCAGGCAGGCGGCCTTCATGACAGATATTTGCCTTTTGACATCCCCAGTTCTGGTGTCCACAATTCAAGAGGTTATTGATAAATTGGAGAGAGTTCAAAGAAGAGCCACAAGAACGATTTAAAGCATTAGAAAACATGTCTTATAGCAATAGACTCAAGGAGCTCATCTAGTTTGCTTAACAAAGAGAAGGTTAAGCGGTGACTTGATTAGTCTGTAAATAGCCTACATGAGGAACAAATATTTAATAATGGACTGTTCACTGTAGCGGACAAAGGCATAACAAAATCCAGTGTCTGGAAGTTGAAGCTAGACAAATTCAGACTAGAAATAAGGAGTAAAATTTTAACAGTGAGGGTAGTTAACCATTGGAACAATTACCAAGGTTTCTGGTGGATCTGGCAATTTTTAAATCAAGATTGGATTATTTTTAAAAAGATATGTTCTAGTTCAAAAAGAATTATTGTGGGGAAGTTCTCTGGTCTGTGTTATACAGAAGGTCAGACTAGATTATCATAATGGTCCCTTCTGTCCTTGGAATCTATTAATCATATGTGGAAGAAGGTTAGAAAGACAACCTTATTTCTGACATTTCCTAGCTTTTGAGTGTTTGACTTCACAACCTTAACAACCTCTGTTCTTTTAGTAGAGAGAGAGAGAGAGTGTAAAGTAAACTAAAATACACTTTGTTAAAATAACTGATTAAAGTACAGTTGGTGATGCATTAGCCTTGTTTCTTTTATTAAATGCTTTGCTGGTTTGCAAAATTCTGTGCAATCTATAGTGTGGATTTCAGTCATTAATGCTGAGTAATGTGTGGCATTCTACAGTATATTCAACATTGTTTATTTTGCAAAAAGCCTTATGTAATCCAATTTTACTTTAATCTTTCAGGAAAGAGTGACTAAACTATCACCTCGTCCCCAGACCGAAGAAGAGCTATCTGCCCTGTTTGAGGCATCCATGAAACTTTATTAGTTTAAATATATTGCATGTTCTTTAACAATAAAAACTAACATGGAGGTAATTTTCCACAGACATGGTCTAAACCAGTTCAGATAATGAAGGAACATGGAACTCTGATGCTTGTATTTTATTATCCACTGCCAAAAGGTCAGGTAATTCATGTTCAGTTCAACACTGTTTTTGTGATGTAGGGGCTGATTGTGTAATCAAAGGGACTACTCATGTAAAGGTTGTTGGCTCAGATCTTAAGCTTTGCAGAGGACTTTCTCTTGCTTGAGAGCTGGACAAAAAATTGAGATAATTTGTCCTGGAAATTTTTTTTAAATGTTCAGGGGATGAATTTTATCTTGTATTATAATTTTCTATGACTATTTTTGTCTTTTAAAAAAACCCAAAACTATAAACTGTGTAGGAAAAACAGGCCACTCCTCCTCAGGCAATATTCTCAAACACAAAATTTGAACCTGCTCAATTCAGAAGGTTCACCTTATGATTTTTCTACTGTCTCATTCAATTTGGGGCCTGATATAAAGATGGTTAACATCGTGGGTAAAAAAATATATATAACTTTTTAACAAGTCTGGAATAAGTTTGCTTGTTCCGACAGGCTAACTGATTACTTGTCAACTGAAAAAGCAAACTGGCAGAAGGGGGATAAAATTCAAATGTAAGTATTAAAATCTTTTAAAACTTTCCTGGATTTTTCACCCTCTGTTGAGCCCCTTTGGGGTAATGAGATTTGCTGCCTGCGTAGCGTAGCATAGTATTTGCTGCCTCACACAGCAGTCTTATACAGAGAATATTGGAAAACAGGAAAATTATTTTGAAGAGATTTTTAAAGTTATTTCTGTTTTGTGGAGTTTTAAATGAACCTATTTACTGGTTTTCACAAAAACTCTGTGACTTTTAGTATTGCTATTTTAATCAATATTTTATCAAACTTTTTACCAATTTTTTATTTATTGAAAGCCATGTTGTCTTACTGAAAACTGGGTTTTCTGTAAAAGAAAAATATCAATAATTTTGAAAACAATTTTGATAAAAATAGCAATTAAAAATGTTGCAGAAAGTTTTTTCACTCAAAATAGAAAATTTTGATAATGTTGACAAATTTGTCAGAAAGTTTTCCAAAAAAGATCAGTTTTCAAAAATTTCTTAAGCAAAAAATATCAACCATTATAAGATGTTTTCTCTGTACTAGACAGGGCTTTAATGTCAGTCATAGTCCCAGTTTGCTTCAGCAAATTCTGGAAGTTGGCACATGTCTATATCACAGAACAGAAGAGAGAGAAGGTTTTTTTTAATTGAAAATTATTTCTATTAGGCACAGATTTCATTGGCATTGTACTGCAACACCGGCAGCAGTATATACAATACTCAGACTGTATTCATGTAAAACAAATTCTGATGTCTTTTAAATTCTGTTCAGGCACCAATTTCATGCAGTTGCCATAGCACAAGCTCAGTGTAGGAAAAGCATAACATGCTAGTTAGTTTCTTTACTCAGTTACTTTTACTCTTTGCCTCGTTATGATTCTGTTCTGCAGCCGCCCCACATGCAGCTCTTCCACTGAAGTAGAGGAAGGATGTCTTGTACATTTATGACTATTAATCTTGGCTCAATAAGACTGGTGCCTTCCAACCACATGTTAGGACCTTATGATGTAAATATATTGGATGTGTGGTTTTTAGGTCCCTTTAGTGCTCGGTACAAGGTTGGATGGATAGCGATGGAGACTGAAGGTCCTCTGTCTATCCACTGAACGGGTAAAGCATGGACAGTGATTATACAGACAGCTCTGCCAATATCCCTCAGCCTATTCTGAGAAGCTAATTCATTTCCCCTGTCACTCCATATCCATTACCTCCTTGCTCATTCTAGTGAAAATGCCAACAAGAGCCTCAATTGTGAAAGCTGGTTTCACAATGTGTGGATTTTATTTTCTATATTACAAAGACTCACCCTGCACTTTACCTTTTTGTTGCATCTTTTATATATAATTTCTGTTCTCCCTCTCTGTGAAGTTTCATCTTTGTGCAATAGAAATGGTACAGTGCACTGAGGAGACAATTTTTTTGGGAATCTATCTTCTAGCCAGACACTTTGGAATTGGAGGGGATGTAGCTTCTTCCAATTGAACAGCGGATGAGTTTGTTAGGTATGTTATTTCTCCTGCATGTTTTGATGGGTAAGAAGGAAAGTGGGTCTTTCATTCTATCATGGTTCTTATTTACCATTTATATTGGTATGTGAGTAATTAGTAGAATGGCTTCACTACTAATAGTACTTTACACTTACATATAACCTCTTTAATTGAAGGAACTCAAAGCAATTTACTAACATTCGTGAATTAAGCCTCACAACACCCTGTGAGGTAAGCTGCTAGTATTACCCCTATTGTATAGATGAGGAGACTGAGGAACAGAGTATTAAGTGACTTGTCTAAGGTCACACAGGAAGCTTGTGGCAGAGTCGGAAATAGAACCCAAGTCTCCTGACACCTAGTCTTACGCATATCCATAAGACCATCCTTCTACTACTAATTATTAGCCAGTGCTGAAAACTATGTGAGAAGAATCAAGAGATGAATCCATCCCATTCAAATAATAACAGTTTGACAGTGCTCGTGGTGCTAAATCCAGAACGGGATCCAGGATACGAGTACAGTTTATTGGCAGTTTTATTTGCCACTGAGTTAGAGGTTTTTAATGTAATAAAATATACTATTCCGTACCTGAAGGTCCACATTTTCAAACGTGTGCACATATCTTTGTGCAGGTCCAGTTTGCACTCATGAATATGGGACTTGTGCATGTGTGGTTACAACTCGTGAACACCCATTGGTTGGGCACGTGTAGAAAATCTGAGCCACTTGTTCTTCATCTGATTTATCAAAATGTTAATGCCTCAAACTCTAAAGCCTTCCATAATGTATCTTGTATAGTTAGAATGGTGCCTTTGGGAGCTACTGCAATACAAATAAGTAATGATGCATTTCCTACAAATATAAGCATGTGAAAATGTTTGAGAACCGATTTAACTGTCATGTTAACTTGAATCTTGAAATGTACCTGTGAATCCAAACCATTCAGAGGAAATAAGCTTTCATTAGCTTTGCTGGGCAGTATGATTATTCCTGATTAGATGCTTACTCAATGAGCTGACAGTATGTTGACAAACCATTGCATTGTGAATAATTGAAAAGAATGTCCAATTTCCAAAAATAAAGAGCATCCTATCTACTGTACTCTCTGTCTGAACACTTATTTGGGGCTTGTCTACGTTACCCGCTGGATCAACGGGCAGCGGTCGATCCAGCGGGGGTTGATTTATCAATTGGCGAGCACTCTCCCGTCGACTCCAGTACTCCACCAGGGCGAGAGACGGAGTCAACGGGAGATCGTCAGCCGTTGACTTACCGCAGTGAGTAGATCTAAGTATGTCGACTTCAGCTATGTTATTCACGTAGCTATGTTATTCACGTAGCTGAAGTTGAGTAACTTAGATCGATTTCCCCCGCCCCCCCAGTGTAGACCAGGCCTTGGACACTGAATATTCAATATATAGTGTTTAAGTCCTATTATAAATGGTTACAAGACCAGCATATTTTGAATGTCATATTGTTAGCAGTAGAGCTTGATTGATGTTTACATGGATTCAAGGACTTTCTTATGGATAGTTTACATTTAAATCACAAAAACAATGAGGACTCCTTGTGGCACCTTAGAGACTAACAAATTTATTTGGGCATAAGCTTTCGTGGGCTAGAACCCACTTCATCAGATGCAGAGTATATTGAGGATCTTGATTTTAAAAACAAGTCCAATACCCAGAGCAGCAAAGGAGACAAAAATAGATTGAAAAATACTTTTATTTCAAAACACTTAACTTATGTGAGTAGCTCTGGAAAACACAGGGCAAAATCTAAGGTCAGTTACCACATGCACTTAGGGCAAGTCTACGCTATAGCGCTTCATTGGTGCAGCTGCCTAGCTGTAGCGCGTCTGGTGAAGACATGCTATGACGATGGGAGAGCACTCTCCCGTCAGAATAATTACTCCACCTCGGTGAGAAGCGTAAGCTATGTCGACGGGAGAACATCTCCCACTGACTTAGTGCTGGTGTAGACAGCGCAAAACTTGCGTTACTTGGGGGAGGGGGCTTTTTCACACCCCTAAACAATGTAAGTTAAATCGACTTAAGTGGTAGTGGAGACCTGCGCTTAGTCATCACAACATATTTACTTTAATGGGGCTGCCAGGGCTGTGAGCATCTGGCCAGGTGCTGAGTCAGCAACATTTCTCACATTCCGCAGATCTGAAAAACAAAGGAAAAGGGAGATGTTAAGTAAAAGACATATAACAAGGCTAAGTAACTACTCACCCAACTAAATCTCTGTATATGACTATGGTGCTCCCGCACTCATGTATATCATTCCCACCACCCTTGTATCTCCTGCCCACGGAGCAATAAAACCCCTGGGGCCTCACTACATTAGGTGGGGCAGGGGGCAGGAAGAACTTGCTGCAGGATACTGAAAGACCGAAAGGTATGTCTTCCCAATGGGCTCAGCCCATTTCTGGCTCACAGAGGGAAGGAAACTTAGGTCAGCTACAAAACAAAGCAAACCAAGGCAGAAAACAAATGGCAAAAACATAAACTTACAAACACTATTGAACGAATAAAAGAAAATCAAATCAAGCTCCTTATCTCCTCAAGCACTGACAGGCTCTGGCAGCATTTCAAGAGGAGATGGGCCCCTTTCTGCCATGACATCTCGGCTGAGAGTGTGCGGAGGCAGCAGTATGTGTCCTCTATCCTTTCTGCTGCATGCCCAGATTCTTGTACAGGACAGATGCATTTGAAGCATACCTTAGTACAACCCATAAAATATAGATAGGTGCAAATAGATATTGTATACTTCATAGGCACTATGTACCCGCTTGAATGCTTGATTTTGCAATCTTAACACTCATTTTAACTTTGTAAAATGTGATTATAACTAATGTTGGCTCTGGTCTGCAGGTGACTATCTTTTCTGTGAAACAGAGCTTTTATTAAAGCTGACATTTTCTAAGCCATCTTATATTTTTATGATGTATTTAGTTAACCTATTTGTATGGTACCTCTCTCAAAGCATCTAAGCCCCATTCAGTACAAAGCAATACTAGTCAAAAATCCTAATGTTGGACTTACAAATGAATTGTGCCTGAGGTAACACTGGCCAATAGTAGGCCCCAAGTCAGGACCTGTTTGGGGCTGCACTTAAGCATGTGCTTACAGTTAAGCAAAGAAGTGCTGTCCTGAATAGGGATGTACTTAAGAAAATGTCTAGAGGCTTTCCTGACTCAGGACCATACATTTTTAAGGAGCAGATTCTATTAAGCTAAAAATATCAAACCTGAATCAGGGAGCACTTGATGGTTTCCATTATCACATCTCCCCTTCCCCCTCCCCTGCTCATTATTTTCCAAAATCACTCTGTCTGAGGCTGGACACTTTCAAAGTGAAGTGGCTGGCAGAGGTGTCTTTTTTTTTTTTTTTTTTTTAAATTAAGATTGAGCAGAGTCCATTCTACAATTTTTGAATTATGGGGCAGAGAACAAATGCAGTTATCCCATAATAAATATATGGGTAATATTAACAACACTAAAGTTTTTGTTATACCTCTCTTTTTAAAATAAAGGCGTAATTAAGCAAGGACATTGGACTAGCCCTGAGCAAAGCCTGTCACTTGGTTTTGGTAAAAAGATTTAAAAATAAAATGAAAAACATTATGAAATCACTTATGAGCTTTTGTGGTTTTTAGGAAAGCCAGATGAGACTCTGCCCCTTTGCTAATAAACTAACCCCACTGGCAGGAACAGGGGCTGCTGCAGCTGGGACACTTAGTGGGAATGAGATTGACACTCTGAATATTTGGCTCCAGACAATCTGGTCTCAGTTTGCACATGCAATTTTTGCAGACTATTCCCTTAGAATGCATATGTTGTACAGTAATTCATTTAGACTCACTTTGCTCAAATAAAAGTTTGCCCGTGCATATTCTATCACTTATGTGCCAGGGTGCACAGTGGATCCCCTTACACAGTTGTGCATGTGACAAAGCAGAAGCCACGGTTTGAAAACTTTGTCCTAAATGTCCCAATGAAACACAAAACAACTTTAAAAAAAACTGCAATAATGGAGAAAAACTGCAGTTGGCTGGAAATGAACATTTCCTGACAATTTTCTGTATTCTGTACATTCTAAACTTCCATTAAAAAAAAATTCCTGTTATAATGGCCATCACAATATAGACTGGTTTAAAAAAAATAATTTACAGCCAAATTAGAAAAGCTAAGAACCAATCTTCCATAATCCCATTCATCTCAATGCAGTGTTAATTTCAAAGTCTAAATGGAACCATTTTCAGGCTAATAGGAGAGCCCATCAAAAAATACTGTTCAAAACTTTTTGAGAAAAATTACCTTTTTCAATTTTCATAGAAATCTGAGGGGGGAGCATCAAAATTTTTTATATTTTTGGAAGGGGGAAATGAAAAAAGATTGTTTTCAAAAATGGAAGCTGAAAAAAATCGGTTTTGTTTTCTCAAAAAATTGGAATTTTTTTTTTTTAAGAATCTCAAAATATACTTATTTTCTGACCAGCTCAAAATGTAATATTAGATAGCTGCAAGTTTTTCCCCTCCTTTCTCTAAATTAAAGGCAAAAACTGTTCATGCAACATTAAGGTTGCACAGTTAAAAATAAATTGAAAAACAAAAATCAGTAAGTGCAAAAGTTAAAGTTCCAAGAGCAAGGTTAATGTGGGTACATTGTAAAGACATAGCACCTGATTCTACTCTCAGCTACAATGGTGCAAATGTAGTAATGCCTTGTATTAACCTCCATTGAAATCAATAGAGTTACACCAGTGTATCAGGCCTATGTCATAGTTCTGTTCCTGTTTTCTGGTTAAAGGTTTAACTTAATACAATATTTTTGTGTCATAAAATATATATCAGAATATAAACAGAATATGCAGTACAGATTGGAACCTTAACTTTTACACTCTGACCTTTGGTAATTTTAATTTAGCCACCTCCATGATGCATCAGTTGTAGTTTTGTGCTTTTAGTATTATGCTTTATGTAAATATTTGACCATAAAGCTTAAAATTACCTATGTAACATTGAGATGCTGGTTTACATCTGCAATCAAATGGATAACACATTTTAAAGATTGATTGTCAAAGGCGCCAATACATTGCTGCCTCATTATGTGGTGGTGTCACTTGCTTCTATGCGATTAAAGGATGCCATTGTGTGGCATTGTTAATGTTGCTGTGGACACAGCTGTAGGGGGGTTACTCTTTGTGTAGAGTTTATCTCTTCTCAAATGAAAGTTAGATAAAGAATAAATCATCACTGAAAATATAGATGTATGTTTTAAATAGATATTGGGCAAAAAACTGCTTTCCTCTTCCATAAAAACAAAATGACAACATATAGCAAATTTTGCTTTTCTGACCTTTTTCACCTTAAGAAAGATTAATGGTTGTTTATATTGCTTCGGCAGCACATATACTAAAATTAGAAAGGAACTGGATGCCACTGGGAATGATAAACAAAGCTGTTTTTCACCCCTAGGTCACTAGCACAGATCCTACCTAGGTCTCCAATGACCATCATGGCTGCTGAGTAGCCTCTGTGCAATGGGTTGGTGATCTTAGTCCAGTTCCCAGCAGACAGGTCTCTGTATCCTAAACACGGTCGCCACATTTGGTGCCCTTATGGCTAGTCTCAGGAGAGAGGCCAAGGAATAAATGGGTACAGAGACTGAACTTCCTTCCTTCTACATCATTAAAGCCAATGGAATTATGCCATTGACTTCAATGGAAGCAGGGTCACTCTCTCTTTGAGGTAGTCTGTTGTAATAAATAGAGCCTAGCAGGCCTACTTTAATTGTTAGCCTAACCGGTGAAAGGTGGGTAAAGGTTTATGAATGATCACAATGAACTGTATTATAAAATTGTGTAAGGAAAAGATGTAAGAAGACTGAACTCGTTTAAAGGGTTTATTAATACCACTCAAGGATTGTTTTAAGATTATGACTGGTAAACCAGAGGAGTAGAGGACCAGAAATTAATGGACCAAAATTGGTGCTTCAGAAATTAGGCCTAATTGGTGAGCAAAATAATGAGAGGATGGACCATTCCACACATTGCCTTTTTGGGGACCCTGATGGAAGAGTCTTTGGGAAAGACAAAAAAAACTTTTTACCATCACTGCAGGAAGAATTGTTACCGTGACACCAGACCTTGCTACTCCCATGGGGATGCTTGGACATCATCACTGCACCAGCAAGAACCCCAGCCAGACACATAAGGGATCCTGCTCTGTCTTCCCCTCCCTTGTGTGCTCTTTTCCATTCCCCCACTAACTGCCTCCTGTCCAATCTCTCTTTCTTGGCTTTTGTGCCGCACAGCACCAGCATGGTGAGATGAGACAGGCTGTCCAGCTCTGCTCAGCCTGAGCAGGACTAGTGAAGGAGAGTGACCTGACTAAACCAACCAGAAAAACAGCTCTCATGGCTCTTCTGCCAGCCTAAAACCTCTGTCTGTGACTGACCAGCCATCCCAGCAAAAGCTGGATTTTCTCCATCTTTACTATCATATCTCTTATCTCCCTTCTTTCTATCTGTTTTATCTAAAGCAGGAACATCAGAACATAAGAACGGCCATACTGGGTCAGACCAGAGGTCCATCTAGCCCAGTACCCTCTCTTCCAACAGTGGCCAATGCCCTGTGCTTCAGAGCAAATGAACAGAACAGGTAATTATCAACTGATCCATCCCCTGTCGCCCATTGCCTGCTTCTGGCAAACATAGAATAGGGACATCATTCCTGCCCATTCTGGCTAATAGCCATTGATGGACCTATCCTCCATGAACTTATCTAGTTCCTTTTTGAACCCTGTCAGAGTCTTGGCCTTCACAACATCCTCTGGCAAGGAATTCCACAGGTTGGCTGTGTGTTATGAGAAGAAATACTTTATTTTGTTTGTTTTAAACCTGCTAGGGATTTTATTTGGTAACTCCTAGTTCTTGTGTTATGAGAAGGAGTAAATAACACTTCCTTATTTACTTTCTCCACTCCAGTCATGAATTTATAGACCTCTATCATATCCCCACTTAGTCATCTCTTTTCCAAGCTGAAAAGTCTGTATTTTTAATCTCTCCTCATATGAAAGCTAATCCATACCCCTAATCATTTTTGTTGCCCTTTTCTGTACCTTTTCCAATTCCAATATCTTTTTTCAGATGGGGTGACCAGAT